TTAATTATTATCATAATCAGATAATTACCTTTTTTTACTACTAACCTGAGAAATAGACATTATTCAATCTATTTTTCTAAGAAAAAATTGAATTTCTCTCCCTAGGTTTAACCTTTCTTCTTTAGAAAGGGAAGATGGATCGAGTGGTACCTTGTTTCAAATGTATTTTGTTTCTCGTCACAACTGTGTACTTTTGTTGAAAATCGAATGATTAGTTCTCAAGATATTTACTGCAAAGATGCCATGGGCTAAAAAGGAAACAATCTTCTGGCCCTGTTATTCTCAAAGTAACACTTTGGTGACTTTCCTCTTAGACACGTCAATTTTGTTTTTGTGTGCTTCCGAAAAAATTAAAATTGACGTATCCGAAAGGAAAGTCAGGAAAGTGTTAATTTGAGAATTACAGGGCCACGAGACTGTTTCTAATTTAGCCTATGGCAACTTTGAGAGTAAATATCTTTAGAAATAATCATTTAATTTTCAAAAAAAGTAAAACATTTATGACGAGAATCAAAATATGTTTAAAATAAGGTATCACTCGACCCATCTTCCTTATCTTAAAAAGGGGGGTGAAATTCACCCTACCCAGGGGGTGCATCCTGTTACGAGTCTAAAACTACATGGGGTAGTTAAGGGGGAAAAGAGTGAAGGGAGGGATATGACTCTTGAAGGTGGCCTAAAGAAGAAATCCGACTTATAGGGAAGTTCCGACTAGCCCACAAAATTCCGGTGAGTGGGGTGGGTTTAAATAAAGGCGCCACCTGTTTTCATCCCTGCAGCAAGTCGGTTTCTGAACAAAAGATATTTCAAAACAGGAAACAGCCTATAGCATACAAAGAATCAAATCAACACCAAAGAAAGGAAGGTTTAAAGGCGATCATCTTCAACTGAAATCCCCTAGGATTGGAGAACTCGTGATCGCATTGCAATCTGAAAAGAACTGAAAATTCTAAATGTCAAAAATCAGCTGTAAAGGGAAAATAAAAGAAAATCACTGAATATTAAATTATATGGTTTTGTTTATCTTGCTTGATTCGCTCCGTTCAGGATTTAACAATGATGTTTATCAGTTTAATAAAAAAAAAAGGTATTTTGGCATAATTATCCATACCCCAATATGTTCACTATTAAAAATAACCTTAGATTTAAAATAAATTCAATACACAATCAAAAACGTTGCTTACCCTCGAAATAGGACTATTTTCCGGGTTTACAATACCGCTCCTATTTTAGGTTAAGCCTAAAACTTATAATAAGAACATACAAGAATGAATAATAAGGTAATAACTCCTATAATTAAAAACAAAACACGAAAGTTCTTTATTGGTAATTTAGGCCTCTATCTGGCTATAGATTGTTCTGATTGTGAAAAACCCTTGGTATGCTGAACAATACTTATGATGGTAATAATTACGGGGTGAGTATTTATTTTGACCCCAGAGCTTCACTACCAATCAGCTGGAGTGTATCCATCTGATTTCAGGACCCAGTACAACACACACATGTAACCCAACTAACTTACAGGGCGTTACTTGATTGTTTGCTGTTTGCAATTCTTACAGCGACCCAGGAATCTACCTGACGTGGAGTAAGGATCGAGGGTCCTCCCCAAATCTTCTCCGTGGTTAAGGATGTTCTAGAAACTAGGTAGGGGGGTAGTAAGGCCGACTGGAGTGGTTCAGAAGGTATCTCTGGAGTACTGGGGCCTGTTGGGCAACCGGTACTCGTGGGTATCAGAGGAGGAACAAGGCCTCCATTAAGGGGAAGAATGAAAGTGAAGAGAGACCAGAGGAAAAAGGTCTAAAAAAAAACAAGGTTTTCGCACATAGTAAGCAATCAGCAAATATAGTAAAGAAGTATTCTAAAACAACTTTAACGTTATAGAACTTATCCAAAAGAAGAATAGCAGAAAATGAAAACTTACCAAAATACTTTGGCCTTTTCCAGACACAGCACACGAAGAAAAATGGCTAAATTTGAGACTTTAACCCTTTAAAACTCGCACAACCAAATCTGCCTATAGTGGCACTGTGATGCTATAATCTCAGCAACCCACAATTGGGAGTTAGGGGCTCAAACTTATTTTTGGTTTTAAATCAGGAAAAACGCTTAGAGGAAGCTCTCAACGTGCTCTTGAAAGCTGCCCTCTTTTCTCCCAAAAAAAAAATAAAAACGATTTTTAATTTTTTCTCTTCCAGAAAAAAACGTGGGCATACCAATTCAAAACTTGAGGCATTTTCACAGAATCTATTGGGGGACACTGGTACTACTACTGACTGAATGCCTCGTACCTACCAAATAGCGGAAACTGTAATGGTACAAAGGAAGGTAGTACGGAAATCTGTAATAGAACCATCGGTACTATAAAGCAAGTGAAGGAATCTGTAATAATATATACTATGAAATGTTTAATTAAATAACCACAATTATTGTTAAAGTCTGTTTTTTTTTTAAAGATAATTCCCCAAGTCAAAAATTTAGTAACTATGTTGGCAACACAAGCCTTTTCTACATAAAAAATTTGAAAGCATTGACAATTTTACATTGTATTGCCAACATAATGTCAATTTGACTTTTATCTTTAAAGAAAAATCACATTTTAGATAGTACTGAAAAATAGCGAAATGAAAACTGTATAGGTGAAATGAAAACTTAGTAATACATTTCTAGATACGGGTACTTTTACTTGAAAATAATCCCGTAACAATCCTACCAAAATACCGATGGGGTCAAAAAGTTTCCCCGTTGAATACAAAGTTGACGTGTCCGAGAGTTTTTTCAAAATCGACCTTGAAATACCCCTAAACGCCTCTGTTTCGATGTTCGTGAAACACCCTGTATATTAACAACTCCTTGCCACTTTAAGTCTGAGATAGAATTTGTTGATATTATTCTTTGTAAATTTCCAAATCTGACAACCAAATATCAGATTGGTTGGAACTCTGCTTCTTAGGAAAAGTGGGAACTTTCGACTTTAATAAACCTGTTGCCAGGATTTTTCATATTCAATTTTCATGCGCATGGGTTTGTTTGTGGCGAGTCTTGGTTTTAGGGAGCATGGGACCTCTCTTCTATGACTCTTTTTATCATCACTTTGTTGTTTTTGTCTATGTTTTTTTTTTCACAGTTTTTTGTATTATTTTATCGACTTCTTTAGTATCGGTTATATTTCGTTTTTCATGGTCTTAGAAGTCTTTCTCTTTGTCTCATAAATTATCTTGTTTCAGAGCTTATCTTCCGTTTCGTTTCCTTTCTTTGCTATTAGGTTTGTTCGGACTTAGTTCTGAATTGAACTGCGCTTTGTTACGATAAATTTATTATTTATGTAACATTTTCCATCTCATTTTCATTATAAAGTTGTATTTTTGTTTTGCCATTTCAGAATCAGCAAAATGATAATTCATAATAATCTAAAAATATCCACAAAGTTCAAAATAATACCAGTACTGCCATCTATCCATCATGAGCGTAAAATGCAAATATCTATTATAAATTTACCAGTGCTGCCATCTAGTACCAGATGAGTTTTTTTTTTTTTTGAATTGTGATAGTTTTCCTTGGCTATTTTTATTATTTCTCATTTGACGGTCATTTGTATTTTCATTTAAAGAAATTATATTTATCTTACTTTTAGCAAATGGATATATTTCTGTCTTTCTCTAACTTCTGATTCTGAAATAATAATTTTTGGCCTAATGACCTAATTAATTAGCAGTTTTTTGTTTTTAACATAAGCTTAATTTAAACTATTATAATTTGTAAACAATTGAAATAATTCTAATGGATTTTTATCTATTCTCTTTTATTCCACGTGGTTTTTCATTGTAAGGTGAATATGGTCTTTTGGGTGTAGTCTTCTGATTGGTTGATCTGGTTAAAACGGAGTTAAGTATAAGAAACACAGGATTGTTTTCCTATAGGGATTGGTTTCTAAAACGTGCTCTTTTCCTGGCAGTAGTCTAGCAGGCGAGTCATTTTTTTTTAATAATTTTTGCTTTACATTTTTAGATTCTCCCTCATAAATTTCTCAATATATTTTGCTATCAGTGCATATTATCATATCATTGTTAAGTTTTTACCTGATAAATCTTATCTATTCTTGAAATATAAATATTATATTTAAATTTTTTATCTAATTGCGGGCCTCCATTTTGTGTGATTGGTGGTTCCACGCTTTTTTTTTGAGGTAAGTCAATTCAGATTGTTGGGCTAATAAATAGGAGCTGCTGCTCTGGTTTTCAGAATCAATGGTTAGTGTGGGTTTATTGGACCATTTGCTCTAAATGGAGTCGGTGAAAACCAAATCTGTGTGTCCATCCTCATCAACTCTTTATTGAATCCAGGCAGAGGCCCATATAGCCATTTGCTGTTTGACTCCTTCAATTATTATGTTCTCGAAGGGAAGAGTGTTGATAAAGATTTTCTTTAAAATAGGAATCCAGACAGGTCAAAAATTCATTAAAAAGTTTCAATTAAAACATCTCAAGAATTTTGACATATTCTGAATTTGATTGATTTCACCGTTAAGTTTATCTTGTAGTATCTATAGTAGCTACCTTAATTTAAAAGGAAAATCTTGTCTATCTGGGGAAGAATCTAAAAATTTAATTTCTTAATTTTCTATCTGATTTTGTTCATATTCTTGACTGTTATTGCTACTGCCAGAAAAGCAGCACTCTGCTCAACTTGTAACGAGCATTTCAATTTAATCCTGTTGTTATTATCTATTTTTATGATTATTTTTCAATTATTTAATTGTATTTTTTTTATATTAATTTTTTTTTTTTTTTCAATTTGCAATAGTTGCTCATACCTATTAGTATTATTTGTAACAGCTTGCGCATTTGTTCATATCGAACATAAATAAACAATTCGGAACTGATTCTGAACTAAGTCCGAACAAACCTATTTTTGTTCATGCATCTGAAAGTTGTTTTCGTTTCCAGGCAGCTCCTAAATTTTTTTTCTCGCACTCTTGTTTGAAATGAGTCATCCTTCACCTTTTTGCCGAACATCTTTGAAGATACATCTAAGTCTACATTGTTTTTTTGTCATTCCGTCGAAACCAGCGACTGAAACTGAAGCTGCTCTTCTTTTAAGAACATTATCATGAGATTGTAACTTCCTATCTTGAATGGCCCTTATAGTTGAGAGCAAATTTACATCCATATTGCTAAGCGATTCCGTTGAAGTTTGATAGGTATGGATCAAAGAGTACAGTATGGTACAGTACTTGGTGAAGAAGCCTCTGAACTATGAAAACTTAATTCATCAAGAAATTACAATAATGATCAAATACCTTCCAACTAAATTTATTTTGAATGTTAAAAGGAAAAACCACTTCTCGAAGAACCTTTTGATTGATAATATATTATTTCAATGAAATTGTTAACACTTCAAAACCTGAAAGTAAAATAACGATTGTCCAAAACATGACAGATAAGTGGAGCTTCAAGTAAATAATAATTTAAATTGTCTAATTTGAAATTAACTGAAAATACTCGCAAGGCTGATTCGCCCAGTGGAACACTCAACAATTATTTAATTGTGTGTGTTTTTTTTATGTCTATAGGGGTTGTACGGGTTGCGCTGTAGAGGTAGCACCTCTAAGTCTGAGACGATGGCATCAAAAGTCGTAGACTGGAGATGGTTTCAAACAATTGGTCCTCACAGGACAGTCAGAACAGTGGTGCAGCAATATCAAAAACTTGTTTCATGATGAAAGATCGGACACGCATGAACAATATATAAGCGAAGGGCTTGATATAACTATGGAAGAAGTCCAACATGCAGTCTCGTTATCAAAAAATAGAAAAGCTGCAGGTCTACATGGAATTTACTCGGAAGCCAGTAAAATATTAAAGAACGAAGACTCACTAAACGTGATGGTGAAGCTTTTTAATATGGTCTACCGATTGGACGTCATTCCTTCTGACTGGCTTCAATCAACAATTTTAACACTTCCAAAAAATCCAAAGAAGAGCACGGCAAAAAGATGTAGCGATTATCGGCTTATCAGCTTGATGAGTCACTTTCTTAAGATTTTCCTGAAGATCATCCAGAATAGAACATATGCAAAAAGCGAATCCTTTATGGGCGAATCTCAGTTCGGTTTTCATAACGGGTTCGGCACGAGAGTCCCTGTTTAGTATCCAAGTGTTGGTTCAGAGGTGCAGGGATGTGTTAAAAATATTTTAAATCACTGCGGTTTCTGATTTTTAGTTGGGCAGAGTGACTTAAAATGCCGAGAGTGAGTTAAAATGTTTTTAAATCACTGAGGTGATAAACGTCTATTTACCTTTATTGTTATGCGTTCAATAATGTCATTTTTAAACGTCAAAATGGGATAAAATAATGATTTCCTGTCTCCTGGAAAGTCAGAAAATATAAACACAAAAAACTATAAAAGTTACTTTCAGATTGTTACCTTATTTTATAAATGTGGAGGAAACTAGAGAAGATTCTTGGCTGAACACAATAGAAATATTTCCCTTATTAAAATTTCAAGTTTGAAAAGTTTATTTGAAGAGGGTTTTTGATAAAAGAAGAATCCGAGTAAGTGTGATATTGATTCTGCAACATCTGACTGCTGACCAGAAAGAGATGCGTCTTAAATTTATTGCACATTCATGGAGAGCAGGATACAGATCCTGACTTATACAAAAATATTATTTGAAAGACACAACTATTTTGTTCTAAGTTGAATCGTTTTCTAAACATCATTTTTAGATTCTACGGAAAAAATACATAAAATGGCTATTTTCGATTTTCTCAAACATACAGCAAAGTCAAAAATTTTCTCCTGTTCAGTCCTCGTTCGATGACCTGTACATGAATTTGAATTGAAATAATATACAAATTATAACGAAGTTAATATATTTTTCCGAAAATATGTGCGCCCCTGACTTCAATTGGATTACTTTAATCCTTTGACCTTGCTGCAAGTAGCAGTTTGTTGGCCACACACACGAGGCTTCACCACCGGATTTGGACTCATAGTATTCGAAGCGTACCATGGTATTTTCTCCCACTAGGTTGCCCTTCCATCCTCGAGCGTTTTCCTTACAAACGAACGGGGTTGAGTTAAGTCAGTCTGGCCCGAGTTCACCAACTAAGTAGATGCTCCCGATATCCACCGAGTACCGAGGTAGGCCTTTTCTCCGAAACACCGACTGGTATCTGTTCTACAGCAACGCGAGTTAGTTATTTTGCATTAATACTTATTGGTTGGTAAATTATATTCTTTTTATTGTCACGGTTCATTTGTATACGTACAGCATTTAAGATTCTATAACTGTCACGGTTTACGTGTACGGACAATTTCTTTTAATATTTGCTTTATTTTTTACTGTCACGGTTCATTTATACGGACACAGCTCAAAGTTCTATAGCTGTCACGGTTTACGTGTACGGACAGTTTCTTTTCATATATTGGTTCATTTTTTTTCTGTCACGGTTCATTTGTACGGACAGGGCATTATTTCCACCGCCGTTACGGATAATGTGTACGAATGGTTGGTTCTTGGGTTTTACTTATCGACCTAGGGTTACCATGTTAACCAACAAAGTAAATACATGTCTGTATCCGAGACGTCTTACTTAAAGTGTGGGACGGGTACATTAGTGTTCGAAACAATTAAAACCGTTAAGATCTAACCGCTATTATGTTGCATGACCGCTACTAATTTTCTGTTACTCACCGCTTGATTAAAAGCCGCCAGTTATCATTAATCTACTCGCACGCACACATACACAATTTCACTCTCTTCTTTTCATGCCCGCTTCATTCACTCTGCTTAAGGAATGTTTATTTTAATATAGGAATTGCCTTATTACCGTTATAAATTTGTAGCAATAAATACCAGACCTTAATATTGATTTAATGTGTCTTCTTTTGGAGTTTCTGGAGGATTTACAAGAGGGATAGAAGGAATAACTTCCAGCTTCTGATTCGACGCCTGATCTCCACTGTAACAAGCTACCTGGTGCACGTGGGCTCTTAACCACAATAATCCTGACGGTGGCGCCCGAGATAACCGTTAAAGTAAGAAAAGGAAGAACCGAAAGGGCGCTACAGAATTCGATATCCAATTACACCAAACTATAACCATTTTAATAGGTGTGGCAGTATTTATATATGAATACAATTCCAATGTCAATATTGGTTTACCGATATCGAGATATTCTCAAATTCAATAAAATCCTTGATTTCCTAGAGGAGTAGTTTTATTTTATTGCGTCCCTCAAGACCAATTACTTTGTTTAACGTCCTGTGGTACAAAAGCGACGCTCGTGATGGTAAATTTCAGAGTTTTTATTATTTCAAGCTACAAATTTTTATTTTTAAAAATATAAATCATTACTATAAATCCAATGTGAGTAGGTACCGCGATCTGTTGATCAAGGCACGGACGAGGAATCTTCAATATAAAGACGGTGCCGCTACCTCGCCACCTATGGTACTTTTATATTCAGGTTATATTTTTCTTATTGAAAATACCTCTAATATGGGCATCATTTAAAAAGAGGAACTCTACCTCTAGTTTAACAGTTGAAACAAGGAAACTTTATTCACGAAGCACGTACAGGGCTTTTTGTCGTGATTTGTGAGTGACTCAGGTGCTGTCTCTTGATCGATTGAGGGGTACTTGGGGAACCTCTCATTTCCAGACTCTTCAATTGAACCTTCCGGTAGCCAGCAATCGACTGAGCAAATCCATTGCCTTCATTTTTTTTTTGACAGATGAGAATCTCTCCGAGACCTTTTAATTTATCTTTACATATACCTTAAGAATCTACACTAATTATTGACTTTGTCTTTTATCGGGCTTTTCTACGTCTACGGACTGACCACCCTTCTAAATTTTTTATTTTTTAATCGATTCAATTGATTCTTTTTTTGTCTTATATCTACCCGAATTTGGCACTTATCAGACTCATGATTGTATTTCTGCGGCTGTACTGGTGTACAGGGTGTCCACATTTATAGGCTCAAATTTCAATAAATACCATTAGGGATTTTTTTAGGAAAAATCTGGTAGCAAATTCTTGTTTAGAATGGTCTAAAACCCAAATGTACTAATTTTTGTTCCAATACGATACAGGGTGATCACAACAAATTTTCAAAATTTAATGGACCAAACCGCAAAAATGTCATATTTTGAGGTCTTGAGAACAACAAAACTTGAAACAACATAGTTTTAGAACAACCTTAACTAAAACTTGTAGTAAGCTTGTCTCAAAATATGACTTTTGTGCGGTTTGATTCATTAAATTTTGGAAATTTGTTGTGAGTAGAAGTGAATAATAAAACCGACGAATGACACATCTCGCATAATAAGGTACCACTAAACTGAAAGGTTTTTCTCACAGAACAAGGTATCTGGTCTTCCTTTTCATAAATGGGTATGTAGAAGCAACGTTCAGGACGTCAGGGAAGGGAATACCTCTCCTCGAAAGCAAAGTTAACTGGTTTTTCATTTAACCTGAAGATATATGAGCTAAAGATAAGTTACAAATTCAAGTTACCTATGATGAAAAGGCGTCCCCAAAGACGGTTATAGCGATGCAAACCAGTGACTTTCATCCAAGTCTCAGGTACCTACTCTTCGCAAGGCGATCAAGAGGTTGAGAAAAGTAAGTATGCCGCACATTGTATCGCTATGACTAGTTAGTTAAGTTACAAACAAATCGTACGAACACAAAATTCTTGGGAAATATTTTTCCAAATGTCATATTTTTTTCTCTCAAAACAAAAATTAGATTTGTAATTTCCAGCCCTTTTTCGACGTTCCTGCTGGCATAATAAATTTGTTAGTTAAGTTTACTTGTTCAAATCCAAATGAAAGTTTATGACACACACTTTATTAAATTTGGTGCAAGGTTGGTTTTATTATTGAAATATATATATTTGTTTTTTTCGGAAAGTTTCCGCTTGTCCAGACAAGCTCCGCAACAAGAAAATAAAAACCATACAAGACTTGTGTTGTTATTCTCAAGGTACGCTGTGAACCGAGAAAAAAAGCTAAAAGCCAAGTTTACACAATAGCTAAACGAAAACCCAAACCTGCTTATTTGAAAGCGCTTCAAAAAGCGCAAGTTGAAGTATGTGCTTAGGGAGCTAAAGGGGTTAAATGGTTGTTTGCAAAAGGATTTAATTAAAGCCAAAA